GAGGAGAAATTGCAGGTTTTGTTTGGAAGTCAAAATAAGAGAGAGCGATAAACAGCCATATCATTAATACAAGGAAGTGCTGTTTTTTTTCATCCTGAAAGAATCCTTTTTGCTATACCCCATACTTAAAAAATTCATTGTTGGTACATAATTCAAAATCTTTTTTTAAAAAAAGTGTTTTATTAATAATACAAAATTTAAAAAAACATTGGACATAAATATGACATCACTGATTCCAAACATCTTCTGTCACTTTACAATAATATTAGTACTCATATAAACATATAGTTCTTAAGCTTTGTTCACTATTTAAACATAATATGATATGATATTAATACTTTTGCCCTTATTTCTGTATATTTATTTATCTCTTAAACATACATATATCTATAATAACATCTATATTTTTGTTCTAACACTATACATTTGTCTTGGCTACCCTCTTGTTATCTAGCCAATCATAAAATTGTTCCCAGATTTTGTAGTACTTAATTTCACTTTTATCCTTGAGTTCCAAAGTGAGTCTGTCCATTTCTGCGCAGTTAAAGATTTTCAGTAATATTTCCTTTCACTCAAAATTGGAAAGAGAAAGATATTTCAACTGAAGAGGAAATAGTACATAATTCAAAATCTTATTCACATCTTAAAACTGAGTGGCACGGTGGCCTAGAGGTGAACGTACTCGCCTCCCACTCGTATGGTTGAGAGTTCAATCCTAGACAGCGGCAGATGTTTCTCTATCAGGCTGCAAAGAGAAAATATCTGCTGCCAACTCTGCATAGGTGTCAGGAAGGGCATCTGGACAGTCAACTCCCAGCTCCGCTCAGTCGCCCTGACTCCACTCCAAAACAAAGGCTCCTAAAAATAATAAATAAATAAAAATAAACTCATGTCTTTAAACTAGATTACTCTTCCCTAAACCATTTTAGCAAACTTTGAACTTTAAACCAAAACAGTTGGTAAACTCATCTATATATTTTTTTTATTTGATTTATATGCCGCCCTTCTCCGGAGACTCAGGGCGGCTTACAATGCGTTAAGCAATAGCCTTCATACTTTTGTATATTTTATACAAAGTCAGCTTATTGCCCCCACAATCTGGGTCCTTATTTTACCTACCTTAGAAAGGATGGAAGGCTGAGTCAACCTTGAGCCTGGTGAGATATTTAAATTGTTGTTTCCCACCCACTCACACTTTAGAAACAAAACTTTTTAAAACTTTTTACACATTCTCTGAATTGTACAATCAACATTTAAAAGTAGTTCCATTTACTCTCCTATAACAAATTATGGTTCATTTTGTAACTTCAGTCCACAATCCATATCAAAGTAAATATAGAGTTATTGTGGTTTAGTGTCTGAACCAGTCCTTTGGTGCACATTTGTGATATGAATAATCAATGCACCTAAAAATCTCTCACATTTGTGTAAGAATGTCTGATATATGTACACTAACACTGAAACACAATTTTCTTAGAAAACTAGCTGTGTTCAGTGATATTTTTCAAGTAAACATACATGGTAAAATTGCAAATACTACAGTTTTGTAAACTTAACTATTTTAAGAGTTTGATGATCTTTCCTTCTCCAATGGGCTTTTTGCTCTTCACAAGCTGGTCCAACTTCAATTTGCCAAAATTAGCAAATTAGCTTCGGAGCCTCTATTCCCTTACTGTGTGATCACTTCTTTTAAAATTTCCTTTTAATCCCACAGCACCGCTATATTATCAGCAATAGCTGCAGTATTGCTTTGCGCAACAAGAGGGGAAAAAAACAGCATTCAAATTTCTGATTTACTTGAAAAAACAAAGGAGGAAAGCAGAATTGACCTGGATAGATTTGCGATGGAGGAAAGACATTTTGATTGCAAGCTTTTATAAATTAATAATAAATTTCTAAGCCTGAGAGTCCATCTTGGTTTGGGAAGTAATATTCTTTGGAAATGCAGAACCAGCGCTCTGTAATTCTAATTAAAAACAATTTGGAGGAAAGGGGGAATGTGGTTGAGAAATATCCAGAGAGAGCTATTCGTTGCCAATTGTGAAATTCTGCAAATCTTGCAAATTTTCAGGGGGCAATTGTGAGAACTCAGCATATCAGAATTAAGGATTCTCTGTCTGGAACACCCATCTCACACCCTCTATTCCAGGGGTGTTGTTCAGCAGGTTCTGAAAGGTTCTGGAGAACCGGTAGCGGAAATTTTGAGTAGTTCGGCGAACTGGTAGCGGAAATTTTGAGTAGTTCGGAGAACTGGCAAATACCACCTCTGGCTGGCCCCAGAGTGGGGAGGGAATGGAGATTGTGCAATATCCTTCCCCCAGGAGTGGGGAGGGAATGGAGATTTTGCAGTATCCTTCCCCTGCCACACCACCAAGCCACGCCCACCAAGCCACACCATGTCCACCAAGCCACGCCCACAGAACTGGTAGTTAAAAAAATTGAATTCCACCACTGCTCTATTCTATATGCAGCTGATCATCTCAAACAGCAACAAGAGCTTTATTGGCAGGCATTGTACAGTACTTAATTGATTGGCTACATTGAGTTGCAAAGATGTACAGGGAATTAACTCCAGAAAGGGGGGGAAAGAATGAACACAAGGTGCCCACTGTTTCCCACCCCTCGAATTCTGACCCTCTTTTCCATTATTTCACTTTGAAGTTGTCTCCCTCCCCCATAAACGGGGCTGAGCTCAAAGCAGCCCCGAAGTTTGCCCCTTGCATTAGAAATAACATTAAAAATAAGCGCGATGAAGAAAGATTTCAGGTCTGTTTTCTCACCTGAAGTCCCCGTGTCACACACACACACACACACACACACAAATTAAAATGCCCTTCTGGAAAAACCAGGGTGGCCCATTTCTTCGGTAGATCACAAAGGAAGTAATTATTTTTCAAGCAATGCAACGAATGGTAAAGGAAAGGTAAGATAAATGATTCTTGCAAAGTTGCAAAGACTTCCTTTAAAAAAAAAAAAGGATAAGAATAAATGCTAGAGGCACCTAGAATATCTCTAATAATATTTTCTGTCCTTCCAACAATATGAATTTTTATATTTAAAAAAAAATAATAATTAGGACTTCTGTGAGTAGTCAAGGGAAGTCCATATGTAAAAGGATGGAACCCTTCAGTGGTGGGATTCAGCCGGTTTAGGCCGGTTTGGGCGAACCGGTAGTTAAATTGCTGGCTGGCCCTGCCGCTTTCCACCCCGCCCCTTCCAGGAGTCCCCATAAGCCCCATTTTGGCTCCCAGGTAAATGCAGGGAGGCCTCCTAGGCCCAAAATGGGGCATGGGGGGGGACAGCACCCCCCTTGTGGCCCATTTTTCACTCCCAGGAGGCTGCAGGGAGGCCTCCTAGGCCCAAAACTGGGCGCAGGGGGCTGGTGTGTTCCTCCCCGTGGCCCATTTTTGCTCCCAGGGGGGTGCAGGAGGCCAAATGCTGCCTGTCACACCCTCTGGCCACGCCCACCAAGCCACGCCCACAGAACCGGTAGTAAAAAAAATTCAATCCCACCATTGATTCTATCCTATTCTATTCTATTCTATTCTATTCTATTCTATTCTATTCTATTCTATTCTATTCTGTTCTATTCTATTCTATTCTATTCTATTCATTGCATTAAGTCTCTCAACACTCTCTTTTCCTGCTAATATTGATCTTGAAAAGAGCATGTTGTCAACTTTAATATGCTCCCAAAAGTTGCAACTCTACACTAGCAAACTCTTTGATGGACGGAGTAAATAAAATTGGGGGTGTCTCCTGCAAGGCAGCATCCCACCCCACCCCACGGAAATGGAGAGTGACAAACGTGTGCTGTGTTTCTGTACTACGCAGCACTCTAGAAGACAAGCTTCGAGCACAGCCAATCCCATTTTTCATTTCATTTCTTATGCCTGACTTCTGGTCTCCAACCAACCCTTCTTATTTGAGCTTTTCTCTCCAATGTCTCCCCCAAGTCTAATTCAAAACAATCTGCAATATTCCGTTGTAGGTCTCCACTGGCCATTTAATATGTTTAAGTAATGGAGCCTGGCATATTATCACGTCCTGGCAATTTCACTTTGCTGGGAATACAACTTCCCGAATTTGGACTGAGACTACAAATTCCAAGATTCCTGATTCTGCAGCTTTTGCCTAGGTCAGCTGGAAAACTGCAGGAGTTGCTTCTAATGTCGACTGATGTTCCGGTCCCATCTGCATTGGTTTCACTTTTTCTTTACAAAGTGCCAGAATTCAGGTCTCTGGTTCAAGGAAGAACAACTGTACTATACTGTACAATGGCTAAGATTTTTTTGAGGAAGTGGAACTGATGTTGAAGATAAGCGAAGGAGTTTCTGATTTGATTGGAATTCACTGTCATTCATTTCTATTTCCTGCAACTTTCGTAAGGCAAGCTAAACAAACTAGCAACAATAGAGTTTACAAATAAAATTATGACAGTGTTTTTGAGTGGCATGGTGGTAATGTAGATAAAAGAAATAATGTGAATAAAAGAAAGGAATCATACAGAGTCAGATATATGGGCTCTGGGGGACCCTCTCTATTCACATTATTATAAGGGGAAGACGTGCTTGGATACATGAACTTTGAGAGAACCTCTCTATTCACATTATTATAAGAGAGGAAAGTGCTTGTTGGAGATTATATTAACAAACAGTTAAACCTCATTAAGTGGTAATATATCTTCTGAGACCTAGATGTCACGAAAGGACCGCCATATGGAAAACATCTGAGTGACCTCACTATGAATGACACAAAGACATATATGTTACAAAGAGTTACTTAATCCAATAAATTTATCCAAGCAGTAACTCTCCCATTAACAACTACAAGCACTTAAGGAAAAGTTGTGTGACTAAGATAATTTTATAAACTAAGATTAATGGTTTAAGTAATTAGATGAACATATTATCCAATGTATGTAACCATATAGGGAAAATCGGATGTATGATCTCATGTTAACCATATATGGAAAATGTATGATCTCATTGAATCCTTTGTCTTAGAAATGTATAAAACCAGTTGTATCAGAGTTCTCTCCTTGTTCAAAGCTTCATGTACAAAACTGGCTCTGAACCTTGCGCAATAAAACTGTCTCTGGCTGACCCAGGAATGTTGCTTGGTCCTCATCATTCCACAACAGTGGCCTAGAGGTGAAGATGCTTGCCTCCCACTTGGAAGGTGGAGGGTACAATCCTAGACAGTGGCAGATGTTTCTCTATCAGGGCGCAAAGAGAAAATATCTGCTGTGAACTCTGCGTAGGCATCAGGAAGGGCATCTGGTCAGTAAACTTTCAGCTCCATTCAGTCGCTCTCACTCCACCCCAATTAAAGATATTACAGGGTCATAAAAAGAAAAAAAATGAAGATGGTTTTGATTTGTTATTCTGTGTCTACCGGTGAATGAGAACGCATACATTTGTGTTCTTTGAGGGGGGGTTGTGGAATGTAGAATGATGGGAATCTTTTGTGGGTTGGTTTTTTAAGTTATTGCTGCTTTCTTGTCATGTTTGCAGATTTGTTTTGTTTTTGAAAGTGGTACATTTTGTACATTCAGGTCTGCTTGCTTGTTTTTGCTAGATGTACATTTTGTAGGAGACGAACAGGCTGAGACCAAGGGTGGGGTCAAATATATCATAAGTCTGGAGTCCCTTCTCTCCCACAAAAGACCTATGCCCAGCCCCCGTGAATTCCATTGACTCTTATCTAGCACCAATTTGCCTTGATTGTTAGTAACTATGGACAGCTAGCAAACTCATAGTACTTTTGAAACCTATTCTGGCTTCTGCTTCCTTGCACCAGATACATTTCAAAGGATTGGAACCCAGCTATGTAAGTTTAGGTAGGACATATATTTTTGTTGTATGTGTTGTGACCTAGGCCCAAGTAGTTATTACCAGACACAATCAGTCCTAAAGAAACATAATTTATTAGAACAGCTGAGAATTACTTCATTCTCAGCTTAGTCCAAATTAATTCCAAAACAAATTCTTCATAAACAGTCCTTCGGCCTTATCACCAACCTTTGTCTTCTTTGGCACCCTGCCAAAGGCTTTTCTTGGCAAAAGTTCAGAAGCAAGAGATGCTGACAAGAAATAAATGTAGCAACGTTGCTTTCCTACAAAGAGCCCAAGAGCCATTGCTACTCTTTTAAGCCTTATGGGAGGGGCAAATCATCTCCTGGCCTTACTCCCGAGTCGTCCTTTTTGCTTTAGCTGCTCTTGCCTTCTGTCAGCTCTTCACATGTGTGCACTAGGAACAGGATCCTCCTGTTCTTCTGCCTCTCTGCTATCTGCCTCTGGAGGCTCCGGAGTCCGCGCATTGCTCCCAAATGGCCCTGGCCCTATCTCTGCCTCCGATGCAGAGCCTCATCCGGGCCTTCCCCTGACTCCAGGACTGTCCCATTGTCCTCCCCAGCCTCCTCATTGTCTGACTCCGCTGCCAGTTCCTCAGGCTGCGGGCGGACCACAACAGTATGACTTCTCTTAGTGTGAGATGGCATTTTCTAATAAATTGACTTTTTTTTTTCCTGGAAATAAATATATGGTTTGGAATTTGCCAGACAGATTTCTCACCCGTGTTGGAGTATGGCAAGATTTGAGGTGGGTGATTGCAGAGGGAAGAAGAAGTTGGTTACAAGGCTGAAGGCATGGAATGAAGATTTTGGGTTAGGGGGAAAATCCTTGCTGAACAAGAGACTTGATTATTTGGGGGATGGGTTTCTATCCATATGCCGCAGACCGAGACTTGGGCAGGTCACAAAAACAAACTCTAACTAAACCAGGAGAAATAATCACAAGCCATGGTTTTATCAACTCAAATTAAAATCATGCCCCGAATAAGAGTTTTTGCCTGATGCTTCTTCAGATATTCCAATAACCCACAGGAAATTTTAACAAACCCTGTCCTCATGTTTATCCAAGCATCATTTTACACTTCACGTGGGAATGCTCACTACGTCAAAAGTTTATTTAAACAGCAAGCCATGCGATGCTCAAAATGTGATATGAAACATTTTTTGGCTTGAAAAACAAACAGACCCGATATCAAAGCAGAAGTTGGGGGGAAAGGATCTGGTTTAATCCCTGAAATAAATGCATTTGGCATTGATTCTTCGGCTAATGACCATATGATTGCTTTCTTACAGATACAAAGGCTAAAGAAACCCAAATCAGATTCGAAGAACAGACCAAGGTGTGTTTCTGAAGACGACTGTAGTTATGAAAGGCAACCACAAATGAGGTACCTCTTGAAAGCCCATCCAAGGATGCAGAAACAGATGGGAGTAGCTGACAGAGTATTCATTAAGGTGAAGATGAAGAACGGTGCTTAGATATGAATCGGTTTTAGATAATCATGAAATGGCGCTAACAGCCGGCACCGCAGAAACAAATGAAAGGGAGTAAAAATGTCGAGATAATTGTCATTCCATAATCAACACACATACATCCACACACACACACACACACCACAAGACTGGAGAAAGGAGAATTGAGTGAAGGGGAGAAAAGAGCTCAGGAGAAGACTTGCTTTCAAAAAGTAGCCATGTGCTTTGATGTAGCAAGCAACAATTACTCTGAAAAATTGATAATAGGGCAAAAAGCAATGGTAGCATATAATTTCAACAGCTAAAGGTCACTCTAAGAGTGATAGTGAGAGGAAATTCTAACCTCACACAATTGGGCATCATGGCTACCTTAAATTAACACATTTGTTGATGAGTATTTCAAATCAGTAGATTGGTATCTGTCCCTTTCTTGACAATATGATGGAGGTGATATCTCATTGACTTCATTATGTATTCCTTCCTTCCTTCCTTCCTTCCTCCTTTCATTATCCTTTTTTCATTCCTCCTTTCTCCCTCTTTCCTCCTTCCTCCTTTCTTTATCCTTCCTTCCTTCCTTCCTTCCTCCTTCCTCCTTTTTTATCCCTCCTTCCTTTTTTCATTATCCTTCCTCCTTCCTCTTTCCTCCTTCCTCCTTTCTCCTTTCTTTCTCCTTCCTTCCTTCCTTCCTTCCTTCCTTCCTTCCTTCCTTCCTTCCTCTTGGATACCCAATGTAGCTTGGCAATTTCTTACTTTCTCCCTCTGTCATGCTTGCAGAATTATATGTGAGCCCTCTCACCTTTAAAAAAAATCCACCAAGATAAACTTGATCTAATCTAATCTCCATTCTAATCTGTTAGTATTTAACCAATTCAGCTCTTATCATTACAATTTAGGATTTTATTTTCTCCCTGTAAGTTCGGGGCCCATTATTATGTACCAGGACACACAATTTAGTGCCTTTCAGAAGCCTTGGACTGAGCTCTCCCATGCTGATATGGGCATATGGGAGTTGTAGTACAAACATCTGGGCAGTCAGACTGCCTTCTCCTGTTTCACTATGCAGGGGGCCCTCAATTTACAACCACAATTGTGCTCAAACTTTATGTTGCTAAGCAACATGTTGTTAAATGAATCTGGTTTCCCCATTGATTTTGCTTGTCAGAAGGTCGCAAAATGGGATTTTATGCAGAGGTGGGTTTCAGCAGGTTCTGACCAGTTCCGAAGAACCAGTAGCGGAAATTTTGAGTAGTTCGGAGAACCGGTAGTAACAATTCTGACTGGCCCCACCCCCATCTATTCTCTGCCTCCCAAATCCCAGCTGATCGGGAGGAAATGGGGATTTTGCAGTATCCTTCCCCTGGATTGGGGAGGGAATGTAGATTTTGCAGTATCCTTCCCCTGCCATACCCACCAAGCCACGCCCACCAAGCCATGCCATGCCATGCCACGCCCACCAAGCCACGCCCACAGAACCGGTAGTAAAAAAAATTTGAAACCCGCCACTAATTATATGACTCCAGGACACAGCAACCGTCATAAATGTGAGTCAGTTCTGAAGCTGTAAATGTAAATCACGTGGCCATGGGGATGCCATAATGGTCATAAGTGTGAAAAATGGTTGTACGTCACTTTTTTCAGTGCGATCGTAAGTTCGAATGGCCACTAAATGAACTGTAGTAAGCAAAAGACTACCTGTATTTAAATACCAGTAATGCTATTGGTGGATGAGATGTTGGAATGCAATGACTGATATCGGTTGGATGGAGACTGACAATTCTCTAAATAAATTCATAAATCAGTACAGTAGGGTAGCCAGATGTATTGCATTGCCTAGATTTTTTTTTTTAAAAAAAATTGTAAGATATTCAACGAGTATGTTCTACTTTACATTATTCTGTCTAGACGGCATTTCCTGAAGACTGTCCTATTGAATATAACACGTCTTATCTCTGCGTTAGCTTTAAAGGGTGACAATGAGAATGACAGATTATCAGATGTTCCAAATATGTAAGGATATTCTGACAATTGTGAAAAATGACTCTCTTTTTGACATCTCCTTAAAATTAAAAATTCAACTTTCTTTCCATTCGGTTGCCTTGGCATGAGAATTCCCTGGTATGTTTTCAGATTTAAGTTTTTACTTTTATCAGGACCATTGATAGGTTAATGAATGGAAGACTGCATTTGGTATTTGTTGTGGCCCACCAGCGGCCTGCGCGGATCGTGGCTGATCCCAACGAAGAGGAGGCTGTTGTGGTGTCACGCCAACAGTCTGCGCAGCTAGCGCTTGCGTCGGACAGCGAGGAGGCTGAAGAGGATGTGATGCCAGAGGCAGAGACTCAGCCAGGGCCTTCAGAACCTCCAGAGGCTCCTTCAAGTGGAGAGAGCGAAGTGGAGGAGCCTCTCCTCAATGCTCAAGCACGCAGGGCTGCCAAAAGGCAGGAGTGGCTACTCAGGAGGAGGAGGTCTCCTTGAGAGTAAGGCTTGAGGATAATTGGCCACTCCCTTAGCCTATTTAAGTCGCACGCAGCTAGTGCTTTCTTGCTGGAAACAACGCGTATTTATTATCAGAGTATTTTGGTTTATCGTATCTTGTTTTCTGGGCTGGTTGCCAACCTTTGCCGGTCTTGTTTATTCTTGCTACTTAATAAATTTGATAAGGACCATTGGTGTGTGTCAATATCCTCGGAAATCCAGAGCTGGGGCAGAACAGTATTTTACAGGATTTTTGTTTTTAAATTTTGTGAATATACATCATATGAGAAAAAGGATTTAAAAAAAAAAAAAAAACCTTAGACCATTAACTCTTGCAAAATTGAAACGTACCAGCTCCCACAATAGGATTTCATCACTCGAACAATACAGCGAAGCTTTTCAGTTCAAATTTTATTACTTTGTCAAAATATAGAAATACAAAGAAAAATGAAAACGATGGGAAAAGAGGGGAGGAAAGGGGAAGTGAAAAATTGTAGGGGAAAGGAGAAAAAAAGAAAAAGAAAAGCATTGACTTCCAACTCTTTTCGGTGCAGTAGAATAAGGTAATAAAATGCAACCAGAGGTGGGTTTCAACAGGTTCTGACCAGTTCTGGAGAACCGGTAGCGGAAATTTTGAGTAGTTCGGAGAACCGGTAGTAAAAATTCTGACTGCCCCCCCCCCATCTATTCTCTGCCTCCTGACTTCCAGCTGATTGGGAGGAAATGGGAATTTTGCAGTATCCTTTCCGTGGAGTGGGGTGGGAATGGAGATTTTACAGTATCCTTCCCCTGCCACACCCACCAAGCCACGCCCACCAAGCCATGCCACGCCCACCAAGCCACACCCACAGAACTGGTAGTAAAAAAATTTGAAACCCACCACTGAATACAACCTCAACTTTTTACTTTTACATAATAATATAAACTAGCCATTTCTACAACAGCAACCCTGTCTAATCAGCAAAGGATAAAAAAAATCAAAATTTCATTTTTTTTTCCACCTCAAGCACAAAGTCCAGAAGTGGTTTCCAAGTAGAAACAAATTTAATTGCATGCTTTTTCTTTAACCAAAGCAGTCAATTTAGCCATCTCTGCTAAGTCCATCAACTTTTGCAGCCGTTTGTCCTTTAGGGGAATCAAAGTAGCTTTCTATTTTTGTGCACAGAATATTCTTGCGGCTGTCAGAACAACACAGTGAAGTCTTGTTATTGTTCTTCATCAGTGGTTTAAAAGGATACAAATGGAAAAGACTTTGTTTTTAAAAACAACATTAAGACATAATATTATCTGTTTTTTTTAAAAAAAAACATTTAAAATGTTATCTTGAATTTCCAAATGCATTTCTATGAATTTGATAGAATACAAAACACAGATAAAAACTGATGTCTCCACTCAAGACTAGATCTAGCTTTAACTAGGAAGGGATTGGCTTCTTGACTTAATTACCTCTCCAATTTTGATATATGCTGTCAGGTTTTCAGTCCACATCTTTAGATATGAAATAAACAAGATCAAAGGCATATAAGAATTAGGAGAATGCTATTTTAATCTCTGCAAATCATACGGCATATCAAAGGCAAAACATATTAAAATGAACAATATAAATGTGATATGTAAAGTTGGAACTCTCCGTAGACAGCCTAAAAGTATTTGGGGAGGAGAGCAACATTTGGCAATCTCTTTGACTTTTAAAGTGCAATAAATTTAGAGAAATGTCTGGATTTCTCCAGGCTAACATCAGAGATCTCATGAAAACCGAGGAAGCAAAGTGGTTATGAGTGGCCTCCATCTTAACAACTGCTTAACAACTATTGTCTTCTCATAACATCATGATCTGTGTTAATTAACCATTGTTTGTTTAGTTATCTGAAAGTTAATATCATCCATAGACTCATCAGCTGATCGTGTAACTTGGATTCACACAGTATCTTAGGCAGGGGTGAAATTCAAAATTTTTCCCTACCGGTTCTGTGGGCGTGGCTTGGTGGGCGCGGCAGGGGAAGGATATTGCAAAATCTCCATTCCCACCCCATTCTGGAGCCAGTAAGAGGTGGTATTTGCCAGTTCTCCGAACTAATCAAAATTTTCGCTACTGGTTCTCCAGAACCTGTTAGAATCTGCTGGATTTCACTCCTGATCTTAGGCTAACTTTTATTTATTTGCTGTTGAGTTTGTTTATTTGATAATGTGTGTGTCACGGAAGTCTAAAACACTTTCGTTCTGGCAGGCAATTTGAACTGGAAATAAGAGTAGAGTAGAGTAGAGTAGAGTAGAGTAGAGTAGAATAGAATAGAATAGAATAGAATAGAATAGAATAGAATAGAATAAGAGTTGGAAGGGACTGTGTAGGTCATCTACTCCAACCCCCTCCTCAAGCAGGAGACCCTGTACCATTTCTGACAGATGGCTGTCCAGTCTCTTCTTGAAAGCCTCCAGTGATGAAGCACCCACAACTTCTGAAGCCAAGCTGTTGCATTGGTTCATTGTTCTCACTGTCAGATAATTTCTCCTAATTTCTAGATTGAATTTCTCTTTGATCAGTTTCCATCCACTTTTAAATCCCTATTAAAAAAATACTTGCAGTGAAGGTTATTCCAAATATCTATGAAGA